ATTTACCGCTACAACCCTATCCTTTCAGAAAAGCAGCATGGTTTTAGAATGGGTTATTCCTGTCTCACTAACTTATCAGTGGCTCGTGAAATCCGGTGCGCTTTCAAAGACCAAAAGTCACCTTTAGACGTAGCCTATACTGACTTCAGCAAAGCTTTTGACAAAGATCTGCACAACCGGCTGTTACAAGTTAAGAAATGTCGGGATTGGAGGCAATCTATTGGTGTGGGCAAAAGACTTCTTAGTTGGGTGCAAGTTGTCTAAGTGGGAAACTGTGCTAAGCGGAGTGCTTCAGGGTATGGTTTCGGGGCCAGTGTTATTCGTCTTATGTGTAAATGGCCTTCCTCATCTCCTATCATCATCGGTCTTGCTATATCCTGACGATATTAATATATGGAAAGCGGTATGAAATGACTTCGAGAAATTATCTGAATGGTCTCAAACCTGGCAGTTGCCAATAAGTACTTCCAACTGTATTGCGATGCATATTGGTCATCAAGGTACAGATACATAAGTGCTGAATAACATTGAGCTGCTTCTTGTCCGGACACATAATGACTTACGAGTCATCGTTAGCCATGGCTTAAAAACTACTACGCACTGCCGTGCAATAGCCCCTAGGGGTTTTAGAATCTAATGGTCAGTACGTAGGGCCTTTAGTCATGTAGATGCCAAAACCTTTTTGACTGTATACAGCATTTATGCGTCCTAAAAATGAGTACTATATACGAGTGGCTAGTCCCTGCCTATAAAAGAAACAGTGGGCTTTTGGAAAATGTCCAGGGAACAGCGACTAAGCTGATCTCCCGAATAGCGAAACTCCCGTATGGTGCTCGACTGGTTGAGCTAAACTTATTCCTGTTGTAATATCAAGAAACAAGAATTGACTTGATTACAGTTTTCAAATTACTTAATAATAAATATGCATATGATATACCCCAACTTTTCTCGTCTTCCGAGACAGAGAATTTGCGAGGACACTCCGAAAACGTTCACAAGCCCAGAACAAATTACTTGTCAGCTGACTATCGACTTTCCCATAGAATCACCAACGAGTGGAATTCACTACCTCAGCAAGTGATTGAGGCTCCATCCATCGATTCTTTCAAAAAAGTTGGATCAACTGAGATACCATTATTACCAGGACTAACAGAGACCATCAAGCCTATTGTCCTTTCCAAACTAAAACTGAAATATATGGGAACATTTTAGTGCTTACGACATGTAAACTGAGGAATTGGTTGTAAGCGCAAACACTGACTTCGCCCGCCTTTTATTTCTTATCGGGAGGCTTAGAAGTTCACTTTGGTATCAACAGAACCAAGGGACACTAGGGGTTTTCTCGTGATCGCTCTGTAGTGGACCTCAGTAAAACCATTAATTAGTAGTTTGCACTTTGATGTTCCTGAGAAACAGAAACGGCCATTACAACACATTTTAATCGAAAAACACCACTCTTAATTCACTAGAAAATCATAATGAATCAGAATTTTATTATTTCTAATCAACAGATTTTAGAATTTTTACTATATAAGACAGTGTAAAACTATGACTTCAGAGGCAGTTAATTGCAATAAAAGCTTATTATCATTAGAATCGCAGTTCTAGCATGAATTAAAATGAAAGGATGTAAGTAAAAGTCTAAACTTTGTCAGTTCACATCACGTTTTATATCTGCCACAATATTAAGTTCTGTGACCTCAGGTAAAAGCATACCCGCAGTAGTTGAATTCTACCTTTGTCACCTCCGCGTGCTATGTTTCTTACTAGGACAGAGTATGATCGTGGAGTTAATACGTTTTCCCCTGAGGGACGACTCTTCCAAGTAGAATACGCCATAGAAGCTACAAAGGTTGTATTGTGTATTATTATTAATATTCCAAACAGCTGGGTTCAACTGGAATCGGAATCAAGACAAGTGAGGGTGTTGTTATGGCTGTAGAAAAACGGGTGAACTCGACTTTAATTATACCCTCCAGTATTGAAAAGATTTTTGAGGTAGATAAGCACATAGGTAAGCCATTTTTAGACGTCCATGATTCCACCTAATAATTAGTGAAAGTGACGCACTTAACCGCAACACACTATTTTGAAGCTTTATTTATAGCAAACATAGTCGTTAAAACGAAAGCTTGGGGCTAAAACAGGACTTGACTGTAATTTGCCTTTTGTTAAAATGATTTGTTGAATGGTGATAAGTGACAGGTCTGTATTTAGATGACAAAGTTTTTCTGTTCTTTAACATGTAAGTAGCACATACAAAATATGTCCGGGTAAGCTTATCCCTTGCCTCGTATCGTCTTAACCGAAGCGAAATTCATGTTCATCAAGCAAACCGTCTGAAAGACCCCACCACGTGGGTATATTCTTGTGGGGATGTCTAATCACATGAATTTTACTACGCAAAGTGAGGGGTCTACGTTAGTTCCAAGGCCTCTCTTTACATAGATGGGATGTTTATAGCAAAGAACGAAAGGTTGACAGCCTTCGAGTAGGCATCAAGAGCTCTATTTGATATTTTCTGTTAAAGTAGTTTCACCTCATCACTGATTTATGAGGAGCATTGTTTCTGTATAAAATTTTAGTTGCTGTGTTACTTTTGAGGTTTTACGAAATACCTTAGCTACTAGCTGTTGATGAATGGCACATGTCTAGTCCAGTTAGCGATTGTACTTTTTTTATTTTATTTGAACACATATGTATTGGTACAGGAGTGGGCCAAACATATATGCGCCACACAATTTCAGTTCATTAATTGCGTGTGGGCTGCGTTACTGCCCGGGTGCCCAGACCGAAGCAGGTGGTTCTCTTAGGGGGCCACGCCCCGAGCCTTTGACCTAAAGGTCTAACCCACAAGGCAGTGGAGCATCGTAAGGAGATGCAGTCCCATGGTAGCCGGTGACCGAAAATTGGTTCATGCGCCATTTGTTCCCGCAGGATACTGGTACCCATGTGCACCATCGGTTTGGAATCCAGTTAAAGCACCGGACATTCGCTTTTCGTCCTCCCATTTTCGTAAACAACACCCCCGCCACGTGAAGGCAGTGAGTAGGACTTCCCTGGCAGAGGCTGTATACGCGTGGCCGTGTGAGAGTATTTCGAGAGGGAGGGCGAAGCCACCCCGCTCTCGGCCGTACCAGGGCGTTTGGGGGCAATTGTACTTAATATATTCCCGTTTTCATCAAATCCCTTAACACACGTAGTACAGATTACAAATCGTTGCATTTCCTTATTTGAAGGATTATGCTGTAGAATCATTTGTTAGAGTAGAATGTATCTGAAATTCAAGATTACCTCAAACCTTTTGTATAAACTTACAAAGTATGATATACAACCTCCTCTTTCTTCTTTTCAAGGAAAGCAGAAAGTTTATACAATTACTCATTGTCATTTTCTTAAATCTTGTCTTGATATTATAGTAATAGTTGTAGCGGAATTCTTCAGTATAAGCGTAATTTATCATCTAGAATAGGATTTCTTGATGCTGAATGTGTAAACAACTGTGAAGTACCTATGTGGTCAAGCAGAATCTGGTACATATTCTTTTATGACGAACTGTCAACTCTCTTGTAATCGCCTGGAATACTGTATTTTCAAAGGCACTTTTCTATGTTAAGACATTTCAGTGGCGACGTAGGAAGAATAAAGGTGAGGTACCATGAAATGAACTGCGTTTTTGTGGATGCTTATGTTCATCGTACTAACAGATTGTTCTTCTAAGATGTTAAGTCACTTAAACCCTCTGTCACATTGTAACGTGATCAATAGAGTTCGGTTAGCGTTAAAGGATTAGACAAATATGGCATTGGTTACCACTCAGTGATCAATCAATTTTAAGCGTTTTTATAACTTTTTTTCATAGTCATTCGTTTAGCTAGATTAGGCTTAGTAGTCTCATAAAATCCTTTATCTAAAGATCCCTTGATTTACTCATCCTGTTTTTGCGGATAAATCTTTCGCCTTTTACTCATCCTGTTTAGTCGAAGTCACGAAAAATATGCTTTCATGATGAATTAATCGGTCTTCAGGATGAGTTAGGGTCAAAGGCCTGGGGAGTGACCCCTTAAGAAAACGGTCGGTTTCGGTTTGGGCATCTGGACAGTATCCCGACTCAACACGAATTCAATGTGCGTTTGTATTTTGGTGCTCCTTTGTACCAATGTGTTTAGATGAATAGATTCATGTAACCGGTCGAACCAATAAGTTCAGAGTGGATTTAGTTAAGCTTGTGTGACATAATACACTTCTGTGAATGTGATATCTCGGAACTATGTGGTACATTGCCGTTCCTACAGAAGTTGGAGATATCTTCCGCACATAAAGTGAGGTGTTTAAATTGTTTTTGGATCTTGGGTTTTCCCATCATTCTCCAAAGCTTCTGTGATGTAGTGGTTATACCTGGAGCTATCTAGCTGTAACAGAGTTGGATATCTTTTAGTAGTCATAGTGAGGAACTTCTTTCTGGTATTCGAGCCTTGCTAGTACCCAGTCCGTATCAAAAGTTGATCATGTACTTCAGAAAGTATTGAGACTCGTCGTGAATGGATAGACGAAGACTCATTCTGGCGAGGAGATAAAATGACTTATTTACTGTCGTAAATCATTATGCATCGTAGATGACCGCTTAATGTTCAGAGAATGGGTGATGGTAGTGCTCAAATGGTTTCGTCCTCAAGTTCAACGATAATTTTACAACGGCGATCCAGGTATAAATCGTATGAAGTTCATTTCCAGAAGTTTTCCCCGTTGGTCACTTACTAACCTGAGAACTGCAGATTTTGTGGATGGCTGCACCAAATGTCAACAAGTAGCAAAACTCAAGTGCCTTCAGTTTCATGGCCACTACCTGAAGATCCATGGTCCGGAGTTTACATTGGTTTTGCAGGATCAGTCAATAGCACCACATATTTAGTTCACGTTGACTTATTCTCAAAATTGCCAGAGATTTTTCAAGTGGTCCCACCAACAGTAACCAAAACTCTCTGGTTAATGACGAATATCTTTTCGAACAATGGTGTATCAGGTACTATGGTTTCAGATAATGAATTTTAGTCTTCTAGAGCCCCAGAATGACACTAGAAAAAAACAGAAGGAACCTCCGGAACAAGCAAACCTGCCTTCTAGAAAACAATCTTCCAGAAAACGATGACAGACCATACAGTTTCAAGTGGACTCAGGGGAATCAATTAGAGTGCAGGTGATGTGGATATACGATCTCAAATTACAACTTATGGGAAGCAAATCAATTTTGATTGGGTTACAATACTTGTCCAACTCAGCTGGATCCAATTTTCCAAGTAACAGTTGAAATTTCCACTGATCGTTTTGCTTAGCAAAATCAAATTTGAAGAAACTCATACCGTCTGAGTCATGTGACTCATGTAACATTTGAATCTGGTTCATAGTCAAATTCGGCGATGCTGTTTGCAATACCATCGGTAGATGCAACCTTGGGTGTAGGTACACTAACTATTCTCGCTGCTCTGTATTATGAGTTCGTCACCAACTGGATCAATTTAAGCTTCTACTCTAGTAGTCATTTTAATTTGATAGGAACCATTTTTTATCAACTTTGTCTCTAGCTGATATGGATTCGAAGTAGCTTAGTTTCCCTTTTTCTTTGCTCCAAATCTCCGTTCGTGCACTGTGCTAATGGTCTCACTACTGTGAATGAAACTACTTCTACCCTCTTTTTTCTCCCTACCTCATCAGCTAGAGTAAAAACACCAGCTTTTTGATGTTGACCTAGAGTAAGTGATCCAGAAAAAACACTAAGTTTGTCGACTATATATAAAAATAATGGTTGAAACATTTAAACTAAGTAGTTGTTATGGACACAAAATATTGTAATGTATCGGAATTCCATGAAAAGTACTTGCACCGAATAAGTTACTGTAAAAGAATCTCAATCTAAATGATATTGATATGCTTCTTATGAGGTATAATTTGAGATTGCACAGATCCCCAGCACTGATAACTAAAGTTTTAACAATTTTTTAAAATTTGTTTTCGTCTTTCCTAATGCTAGCATGCGCTGTTAGTGGCCTTGTTGCTGATGCAAGAACCCTCATAGAACGTGCACGTACAGAGGCAGCTCATCATTGGTTCGTATACAATGAAAAAATGACTATTGAGGATGTGACTAAAGCTGTGAGTAACTTGGCTCTAGCATTTGGTGATGATGATATGGAGTCTGGTGCAATGGTAAGCAATTAGATTTGATATAATTTTCTTACTTGTTTTTCGAATCTTTCTCGGAATTCATCATGCAGTTCAGTGGTCTAATTACCTAACTATAAAACAGTGCTTTTTGACAGCTTTATCTCAATCTAAGCACTGAATGATTTTGTTATTTGTCACAAACAGACACTACTTCCCAAGTGAATATAACTTCAAGGTATCACTATTTTGAAGAGTGTTAGTCATTCAAGTGGGAAAAGTGCTTTCATTTAGCTACGTTTCTTGTTAGCCGGAGACATCATCCACATACTAGCATAGTTCATTTTTAACCATAAGATTTCTCCTAGATTTAAACTTAAGTCACTTTAGACCTCTACTAAGGGTCTTAACCAACTCCTGAACTTTCTCAAGTTAAGCCAAACACACGAACCACATTGTTGTACTGCTAGTAATTTATTTGTCAAATCCTGCCGAATTGTAGCTTTGTTTAACAATGCTGCAAATTTTAATAGGTCATGAGACTGCTTCGATATTTTAGGTAAAAAATCTTGGTAAGTGCCTACACTTCTATTCAGTTATTGTAATCAATATTGATAGAGTCCAACATCCTAAAAGTTTAATGTTTGACTAATCAAACTATTGATATTCAACCTGACGTAACTAAAACTTCCAACCCCCTGGGAATCTTTTGATTAATACTGAAACCATAAGAGCCTCATCTTCTTATATTTTGCATACTACTGTTTTAAGTGGAGATGTTTAAGTATTATTTCCTAAGATTAACAATAACATTGGTTTGTACCAAATTAGTAACGAGTTGCGCATAAACTTGAATTTTACAAAATTACTTTAACTACTATTTAATACTGTAAGTAGGCAAATAATATTTCTTTATTTTTCGGGTAGTTTCATAAAGCCCTGAATGTATTTAGAAATAATGAATAGTGTTTAAATGAGATCAACCACCGATAAACTGACAGAGATATTTGCTTGTTGAGTATGATAAAATAAATTTGAATGGGTTTTTCATTTGTAAGTTTATGTAATATGATAAGTCATACAGCGTGATCGAGTATTCATTCATACAGTTATAATTAACGAATACCTTTTTAATATATATGAGGATTTTTGAATATCGTAGTATTTACACAACTGAAACCACAAATCGATCTTAGCTAGACCACCATTGAAAACCTGGAAGCACTGGATGGTTGTTTCGTCCTATTGCTTCTAAGTTTTTAATGGTGATCTAGCTAAGATCAGTTCGTGATTTCAGAGTTTTGTTACTAATCATGGTTATAGACTCTTACAAGCTTGTAAAAAGTTTATTTAAACTAAGGAATAAACCATCATTATTAATAAGTAATCTGTATTAAATCCTCATTCATCCACTGTATCACACGCTGTACATCGTGTTTTCCTGATTTTCTTTACACTTGGAAGCTGGTTTGTTCTCATTCACAGTAGGTTGCTGCTAATGGTATCTGGTCAACGGACATTGGGTATCTTGTGTAGACAATTGTTTATAAATACTTGTACTTTTTTGCTGGTGGTCGTAGTAGTTCTTCAGTTTTCAGCTCCGTACAGCAGAACAGTATTGACTTTCGTATTGAAGATTCTGATTTTATTTATTTAAACACATAAACATTGGTACAAGGAGGCACCAAATAGATATGCGCCACATAAATCATTTGGTTTGTGTGAGGGCTGGGTTAGTGCCCGGGTGCCCGAACCGAAGCAGGTGGTTTTCATAGAGAGCCACGCCCAGAGCCTTCGACCTAAAGGTCTGATCCAAAAGGTAGTGGAGCAGCGTCAGGAGATGAAGTCTCATGGTAGCTCCGGACATTCGCTTTTCGTCTTCTCAATTTCGTAAACAACACTAATGCCACGAGAAGGCAGTGAACAGGTCTTCCCTGACAGTAGTTGTATGCACGTGGCCATGTGAGAGCATTTCGAGAGGGAGAGCTGATTCTCCCCACTCTCGGCTGTTTCAGGAAATTTGGGGTGACAATTGTTTTAAGTTTCATATGTTCTTGCTGTCCTTGCTTTGTCAATCCTCACCTTCATATCTGCATCAGATCCTCTTTGTTTATCACCACGTTATTGTATTGGTTGATCACTATTTAATGACCAATATCATGTTTTTCTGGTCGTTGATACTGACTAGATTCTATTGATTAAGAGGTTTCATTACTATCAGAGCGGTTTTTGTGGAGATTGTAATAATTTCAATAGTTGAAATCATGAGTCAATTGAAAGTAGACTATCATGGAAGACCCGGAAGCACTGAATGACCGTTTACTTCCTGATATGGGACTCCTCAGTAATGCGCATCTACGACCCCGCCTCGTGGGATTCGAACCCAGAACCTATCAGTTTCGCGCACGAGCGCTTAACCACTAGACCATCGAGCCGGTCAGCATGCAACGGTGTTATTGTCTAACTTCAACTAATCCATGAAATTGAGCGACATTCATTACTACCTACCTACGGATTACCTCTAACCATATTATTTCAATATATAGAACTTGAAAAATTTTATATTCAATTCAATGTATGATTAATAATGTTTTGTTTGAACTGATGTTAACAAACTTCAACTCTTATGTTCCATTTTATGGTGATAATAACCCTTCATATTAAACTTTATCTATCGATTGACTTTATTCTATAATAACAACAACAACAAAACAAAAAACAAAATCGGGTTTAATGGTTAATTGCTTTGTTCAATTTTTCTTTTTGTTTTAATTCAAGATAATCATTACTCTTATGTTTGGATTTGATTTGATGAGTTTGTGTTTATGTATGTCAGTGTGTATGTGTGTGTTTGCGTGTATGTGTATTTGTATATGTGCAAATGTGCACTGTGATTTTATCATAATCTACTATTAGTGGAGTAAATAGAATGATAAATTTCATTATCCTTTTGTTTTTTGAGGGCATCTCCATGTATGATTGATTAGTTTCTTTTCTGTACACGTACAGAAACTAAATTGTATTAGATTTTTTGATTGAGATCATGAACGGTTTGACGTTAGATCATTGTTGAAAACCTGGAAGTACTGGAAGATTGTTTCGTCCTATTGTAGGACTCCTCAACAGTGGGCATCTATGATCCTGCCCCACGGGATTCGAACCCAGGATCTATCAGTTTGCGCGCGCACGCTTTACCTGTAGACTACTCAGACGGCTTGCACCCAATTGTGTTAATGTCTAAATTAAACTAATCCACAAAATTGAGCGACACATCGACCATTGTCTCCAGTGAGTTACTATCTCACAACGGACCTGGTTGAACTCCACTGGTCACTGCTTCTCACTAGAACTCCAGGAAATACCTTTTGAAGGCAGTTACTAGTGAGCATATGTTGATTAATATCAGAAGGGGTTTTCTGGAAATTTTGGAAATTTCGTTTACTGAAATCATGAATCAATTGAAGCTAGACCACCATGGAAAACCTGGAAGTACTGGACGGTCGTTTCGTCCTATTGTGAGACTCTTCAGCACTGCGCATCCACTGAGTCGGTATCTAACGGTGTTAATATCTAACCGCAACCAATCCACGAAGTTACGTGACCATCTTCCATTGTACTGAGGTAGATACCTGTCTCGCGCGCGAGACTGAGTGCTCTGGATTCAAATCCCGCCAGTGGGTTCGTGGTTGCGCACTGCTGAGACCACCGAGCCGGTCGGCATCCAACGGTGCTCACTAGTGACTGGCTTCAAGAGGGATATCATGGAGTTCTAGTGAGAAGCAGTGACCGGTGGGGTTCAATTGCGTTTGTTGTTAGTAACTCACTGATGACAATGGTGGATGTGTCGCTCAATTTCGTGGGTTAGTTGACGTTAGACATACAGTAAATAGTTAATTTGCAAAATACCAATCAATTGTCTCAAACTTAATTGTTCTTTTTGCAAATCTCAGTCCATCGCCTCAGATTTCACTGTTCGTGCATTTTCATACCAATCGCTTTCCGTCCCCGTTGTTTCCTCCTAGATCATCTACTGAAATACACTTTATTACTAACCATTGTTATATACTACTTTTGTGAATATAAGTAGCTCACACCACATTGGCATTGTCAATATCTAAAAGGTTCAGTACGCACACATTTAAAAGCCTGAAATCCTACAGTTATTATCTGTTTAATACTGTTTCTATTTAATGATTTATTTATTTGAACACATAAATATTGATGCAAAGAGGTACCAAATACATATGCGCCACACAATACACTCGATTTGTGTGTGGGCTGTGATACTGTCCGGGAGCCCAAATCAAAGTAGGTGGTTTACTTAAGGGGCCACATCAGGGGCCTTCAACCTGATGGAAGTGGAGCAACTTTAGGAGATGCAGTCACATGGTAGCGAGTGACCAGTATTAGGTTCATACTCCATTTGTTCCTTCAGGACACCGGAGCCCATGTGCACCATTGGTTCGAAATCAGGGTTTTCCAACTCCTCTAGGTGGACTCTCCATGTCCACCAACCCAGTTAAAGCGCCAGACATTTGCTTTTCTTCCTCTGAATTTCGTAATTAACAGTAATGCCGCGAGAATGCAATGAGTAGGACTCCCCTGGCAGTGGCTGTATACACGTGGCCATGTGAGAGCATTCGGAGAGGGAGAGCTGACTCTCCCCACTCTCGGCCTACCAGGGCATTTGGGCATTATTTCACAATCATGCAATTTACTACTTATATCAATGCTTATCTGCAATACAAATTATTATAAATATATTTTTTGAATATTTTATTTACCAACAATAATCTACATAATTTTATCACTACAATAGAGTCGTCCATTTGGTGTTGCTTTATTATTTGCTGGAGTTGATGAACGTGGTCCACAATTGTATCATATGGATCCAAGTGGAACTTATATTCGATATGAGGCTAAAGCAATTGGTTCCGGTTCTGAAGGTGCACAACAAGCGTTACAAGAAATATATCATAAGGTTAATTGTTTTAAAATCTATTAACTAATTAATAATTGTTGTTGTTGACGTATTATTATTTATTGTGAATGTAGTTTTCTAGACGTAATACAGACTTATACAGTTTAGCATTATCAAGCTACATTTTCAGTATATATGGGGATTACTGTTACTATCTGAACCAAAGCTGATGAACCGAGGTTTGAATCTACAACATAATGGTTGAAAGTCAAGTACTTAAAGCTTTTAAACTATCATTCAATAATCATTATTTAAAGCTACAATCTCGTAACATCAGAGAAACTAAGATATTATGCCTAGAAACAATTGGGAATTTGGAGAATAATAGTAGCTTTTAGTACATATTGTTACTTCTCATTTATTTTTTTTCTGTTATTTATTATTTGAACATATAAACATTGGTACGAGGGGCGACACAAATACATGGGCCACACAATAATAATGAGGGGGCCATACCCAAAGCCTTTTATCTGAAGGTCTAGTCTACAAGGAATTGAAGCAACGTTAGCAGATGCAGTCCTATGGTAGCTGGTGACCAATAATTGGTTCATATGCTATTTGTTTCCTTAGGATGTTTGAGCCCATGTGCACGATTGGTTTGGAATGAAGATTTTCCAACTCTTCTAGTTGGATTCTCCATATCTACACTAAATACACTTATAATAACAAAGATTTCAATTTCTAAACTCTCAACATTCTTAACTAATTGAACATGAAAGGATTATTATAAATGAATTTTCACTACAAGATTAGTTTATACACATAAATCATGTTGCGGCGAAACTATAATTTATGGACGAACCAATCATGTATAAGATAACAGATCTCGGATTTCGGCGCGAAATTCATTCATCCTTTTGGCTAAATAGCGTATTTGGCATTTTAAATAATTTTGGTGGTTATTCCTAATCAGTTACTAATCCAGGTTAAGTTCGTTCACTAAATGATATAATATATCGGTATTGTAAGTTGATATAACGGGATAAAAAGTCAAAATTTTCCGATGAGGCTAGTGCAAACATGGATCCCTAAGAAAATGGAATTATTACTCGAGCAGCAGCTGAAACTTATCCAGATGTTAGCAGATGTAAAAATTACGCCTAATTCACAACCAAGCATTTCTAATTCTGCTAATACTGCACCTTCGGTTGATGGTATCGCGAACAGTATCTCTGAGTTTCATTACAATCCTGAATACAAGCTCACATTTGATATGTGGTTTCGGCGTTATGATGACTTATTCAAACTTGTCTTTTGCTAATCATCAAGATGACGCTAAGAAGGTCCGCTTGCTCCTTCGAAAGCTCAGTCCAAGTGAACTAAATAAATACTGTAACTTAATTCTCCCTCTTAACCCACATAACCACTTATTCTCGGAAACCGTTCGGTCATTACGTCAAGAGTTCGAAAATAACTGCTCACTGTTCAACATGCGTTATCGATATTTGAAGTTGACTGTAAACGAACACGACGATTTTCTTACAAATATAAGCATCATCAACCACGTATGTGAACACATCCGGTTGAATTCGCTAACTAAAGATCATTTCAAAACCTTCATTCTCATCTACAGTCACCAATCGCAAAAGTTCAATGACTTGTCATTTTGTCCTATAATAAGTAAAAGATATTTTAATCATGTTCGAAAAGAAAGCTCTTTGTCATCTTCAGTCTTCAGTAATAAGGATAGTAGGTTGGTGAACCAGTGTTAATCCTAACAGATTGCCATCCAGTGAAGGTCCAGTTTCTCCTTGAAAATATTCACTGATTGTGCTGATACCATTTGTTCGGGTAAGGCGTTCCAATCATTGACTACTCGATGAGAAAAACGAGACCCCACTTTAAATTTTATTAGATCGTGGTTTATGAACCTACTTGCTATGACCTCAGAGATTATTAGTGCTGGAGGGAGCAAAAAGATAAGACATATTAACACCCAAATCATAATTAAAGATACAAAATGCCAGTATAAGGTCACCTCGTGTCCTACGATACGACAAAGGGAAAAGGTTTAGGGCGTTTTAAACTCTCATCGTAAGGGAGTTTAGAAAGACCCTTCACTAATTTCGGTCCCACACACTAGACACACTCAAATGAGTTAGTATCCTTTACCAGACATAGGCTAGCTGCTTAGATACTCATGAATTGAGTTTCTTTCTTTCTTTTTCCCCTTTTCTTTTCTTTCATGTTAACATTCCAATATATATAATTGATAATATCTCTCTTCTATACATTAAATTTGTAAATAATTCAGCTGATAACTAAATTGTACTTTTCCCTTTTTATTCTAATATTCAATGAATATTCAATGGTGAATGTAATTAAAAAGGAAAACAAACAAACAAACAAACATCTTGATTTCATTACTTTCTCTGAAACAAAAGATAAACAAATAAATAAAGCTTACAAATTATTATTGATAATACTATTGATGGTAATAGTAGTAGTATTAGTACTATTATTACGTAATCATGTGTGCAAATCAACGTATTATTATTATTATTATTATTATTATTATTATTATTATTATTAGTAGTAGTAGTAGTAGTAGTAGTAGTAGTAGTAGTAATAGTGGTAGTGGTAGCAGTAGTGGCATTAGTATTAATAGTAATAGTAGTAGTATTATTAGCACTATTATTATTATTATTATTAGTAGTATAATTGCTATCTTGGTGCAATTCAACTGTTCTAATCTAATAGTAGTATATATCATTTCATTATTATTTTTACGATTATTTTGATCGTTTAAACATATATCATCTAATATTTATTTTTTCCCTACTTCGGTTTGGGCACCCGGGGGGCAGTATCACATCCCTCACACATATCAAATGAGATTTGTATGGCGCATATGTATTTGGTGCCTCCTTGTACCAGTATCTATATGTTAAAATAAATAAGTTTTTCTATAGTAGTTTCCTTTATACATTAATTATTGAGTAGTTATTATTAGATATAAGTAATTATAATGATATTATTATTACAATTAAACTAGTTATAATTAATTCTATGTTAGGAAATTAATGTTATTGGAATAATACAAATCATTCCTTTAATGGATTCTTTCAGGATAGAACATGTGATCCAGATTAATAATTGTTCATGTTGTATTATATAATGTCATTATGTTGATTTGTTTATTTATTTGAACACATAGATATTGGTACAAGGAGGCACCAAATACATATGCACCACACAGATCTCATTTGATATGTGTGAGGGATGTGATACTGCCCTCCGGGTGCCCAAACCGAAGTAGGTGGTTTTCATAGGGGGCCACACCCAGAACCTTCGACCTAAAGTTCTGATACACAAGGCAGTGGAGCAACTTCAGGAGATACAGTCACATGGTAAATGGTGACCAACGATTGGTTCATACTCCATTTATTCCTTCAGGATACTAAAGCCAGCCCATGTGCACCATTGGTTTGGATTCAGGGTTTTCCAACTCCTCTAGGTGGACTCTCCCTGTCCACCAACCCGGTTTGCATGCCGGACATTCGTTTTTCGTCCTCTCAATTTCGTAAACAACACTAATGCCACGAGAATGCAGTGAATACGATTTCCCTGGTAGAGACATGGCCATGTGAGAGCATTTTGAGAGAGAGTGGCCTTTACACACTCTCGGCCGTACCAGGGCATTTGGGGGAAAATAGGAACAATAACGGGGAGGATTTGCATGCATATGGCATACAATTCTCTTCGAACGTATGTTGATTACAAAGTTATCAAACTATAGATCATAATGATGATGATGATAGTAATTATAATGCGGAAATGATTGTACAAAAAAGTGTGTTTTTACTATTTGATATTAGGAGACATTTAAGCTTGCAAATGCTCTGATACAGTTGAATGTGGAGAAATTCCGTTGTCTCTCTTTCGAAATACTCTCATATAGCTACGCATATACAGAAGTTCTCACTGCCTTCTCGTGGTAGGGATTTTGTTTACGACATTGAGAGGATTAAAGGCGAATGTCCGATGCTTAGTGGATATGGAGGATTCACCCAGGGGAGTTGGAATACTCTGATACCAAACCACTTGTGTACATGGATTCCAGTATCTTGAAGGAACAAATGGCGTATGAACCCATTAATGGTCACCGTCTACCATGGGACTGCATCTCGTGACGTTGCTCCACTGCTTTGTGGATTACACCTTCAGGTCAACGACTCCGAGTGTGGGTCTCTATGAAAACCACCTGCTTCGGTTTGGACACTCGAGCTCACATACAAATCAAATGACTTGTGAGGCAAATATGTATTCGGTACCCCTTTGTACCAATATTTGTGTGTTCAAATAAATAAATCATTAAATAAAAATAGTGTTAAACAGATAATAACTGTAGGATTTTAGGCCTTTAAAGATGTGTGTACTGAACCTTTCAGGTATTAACAATCCCAGTACTTAAATACTTCATAATAAAAAGCTTGAAACACTTATTGTTTTGTTATTTATCCGTCTAGATTACAGTTTCAACTGTTGGTTCCATTCTCATAAACCCTTTTATCTTATTGATTTGGTAATATCTTTTACAGTATTGGTATATAGATTTAAGCACTTGACTTTGATCACTCCATTTATTTGGGATTGAGTAATCTAGTGTTATCATTGAGTCGTTGTAAAAACAGTGATGAATGATGATGCAAAAGAAAGCATAGTGATCCTTGGATAACAATTGCTCACTAGACCTAATCTACTGTGTTGTTACATTCACTGACAATTCTAAACTGAGCGATCACTAGCTTTACTGTACTTTTTTGATCGAATAGGAGAAAAAATAAAACAAATGTAATTGGAAACTACATAATGCCTAATTTATTAGTAAGTTGTAGTGTTTGCGGATATTACTTTCATTTCGTAGCATAGTTTTCATTAGAAAATGACATCAGTTATGGGACTATTGAAATCCGAGGAGTATAAGGTACTAAAATATTTATTTGGTCCTAGTCGACTATGTTTCACCGGGGAACACTCTAGATTTATACTGGTATCAAACCTCAGGACCTTTGAGTATCCGGGAAAATATGTTATCTTGAGACCACTCTTCATCATTTTCAACTTTAGTGAATTCGTGAGAACTCGATCAATTATTTACTCTGGTTCCATACTACTTTACGGCTGCGAAACGTGGCCATTAAGAGTAGAAGATACTCGTAAGCTACTAGTATTTGACCACAGATGCCTTAGAAATATTGCTCGCATCTGCTGGGATCACCAGGTAATTCATAGTGAGATTAGACGCACAGGGTAAATAAGTTGATGAGGTTGTGAATCTTCATCGACTGAGATGGTCGGGCCACGTGTTACGTATGCCTGAACACCGATTACCACGACGCGCAATGCTGACTAGTGTTGGGGTGGTTAGAAGAAAGTTCGTGTAGACCAAACCAAAACGTGGCATCAGTTGTTGAAGCCACTAACTTGTGGTATGAGCAATGTTGGTAGATGCAGAGTACTTGTTTCGGGTCTGTGTGACTATCGTGACGAATGGTTGGAGACTGTATGTGACATGGCTAAGAATCAGTCACAATGGTATGGGTGTATACACTCTTTGTCTTCCCTTAAACTATGAGATTAAAATCGCTTGATATCTTTCTTCCTGTACTATATCGTTATGTGCAATCTTTCTTTTATACATTGCTATCATTGATGTAATTACTATGAATTTGATGTTCATCTTGTACTAATAAGTGAAGTATGGCAACTTGGACCGATGTATATATGTGCCTGGTCCTACGTTGTAGCTGACTGACTGATTAATTTACTCTGGTGAATACATGAAATATTTAAAGAATAGTATTACGGATCTTTATACAGTTTAAGTATAGTTCAAAGTCCAGTACACGAATCTGTACTTTGAGTTTTTTCATACTTGAGGTAAGTAATATCCTCTTTCTGTGTATCTAACACGAATCGTATGTGTGTGTGTGTGTTTGTGTATGTTCACCTTCACAATTAACACTTAATCTGTTTGTTTGTTTTTCTTTTTACAAATGTTTATATAGAATATGACATTACATGAGGGATGTAAACATGCTTTATCAATTTTAAAACAAGTTATGGAGGAAAAACTGGATTCAACCAATGTTGAAGTAAGCTTATATACTTTTTATTGTTTCTTTTTTTTATAAAGAAATCAGTTAATATCCAACTTAGTAACTAGTCAGACTCTTATATAATCCCACTTTGTGTCACACTTTCTATTCGAACTGGAGTAGGTTGTTCAATGGGGTTGGAAATTGTAATATAGGATGGTTAAATGCAACATTCTTCTACTATTAAACCAATATTCTTACTTACTTACGCCTGTTACTCCTCGTGAAGGAGCATAGGCCGCTCAACAGCATTCTCCACCCAACCCTGTCCTGGGCAATCCTTTCTAGCTCCTTCCAGTTGTTATTCACCTTTTTCCTATCTGCTTCTATTTCCCGACGTAATTTGTTTTTTGGCCTTCCTCTTTTCCGCTTCCCTTCAGGATTCCAAGTTAGGGCTTGCCTCGTGATGCAGTTTGATGATTTGCGTAATGTGTGTCCTATCCATTTCCAACGTCTTTTCCTAATTTCTTCTTCAGCTGGAAGCTGGTTTGTTCTCTCTCACAGAAGGCTGTTGCTGATGGTATCCGGCCAATGGATGTTGAGTATCTTGCGAAGACAGCTATTTCTAAATACTCGTACCTTCTTGGTGGTGGTTGTTGTAGTTCTCCAAGTTTCAGCTCCGTACAGTAGAACTGTCTTGACGTTGGTATTGAACATTCTTACTTTGATATTGGTTGAAAGTTGTTTTGAGTTCCATATGTTGTTCAATTGAAGGAATGCGGCCCTTGCTTTGCCAATCCTTGCCTTTACGTCTGCATCTGAATCTCCGTGTTCATCGATGATGCTTCCCAGGTATGTGAAGGATTCTACATCTTCCAGAGTTTCGCCATCAAGTGTGATTGGATTGGTTTTCTCCGTGTTGTATTTAAGGACCTTAATTTTCCCCTTATGTATTTTGACCCCCACTGATGCAGAGACCTCTGCTACACTGGCTGTCTTTATCTGCATAAACCAAGATTGTAGTCTAGTTAAATCATATGAGTTTTTATTCAATATAGTCAGTTAACGTATCAATATTATAAGGAGTGCTACAGTATATTATTTCACTTTGTTACATGTGGTTTTATACATACTTGATGGCTTTCATCTAACGCATCGGTTCTACTCTATGCTTGTAAAACCTGGCCTCTCCGAGTTGCTGATGTTAGACGACTCTCTGTGTTTGATCATCGTTGTCTCAGAAGGATTGCTGACATCCAGTGGCAACACCATGTTAGTAATGCAGAGGTTCGGCATCGTGTGTTTGGGCGCAGAGACGACAATCCAATTGGTGTCACTATTCTGAAACATCGACTTCAGTGGCTTGAACATGTTCTACGAATGTCGTCCCAGAGAATTCCACATCGTGCATAATTTGCTGACTCTGGGACTGGTTGGAAGAAGCAGAGAGGTGGTCAGTGTATGACATGGTGTCGTGGTATGAAAGAAAGCTGCATGGGGCTGGCTTGTGTTGATCCTTCACGACTCCTTGGCTGGGGTCTTGGAGATTGTGCAACAGTGGCTAGAGACGTTATGAGATATGGCTCAGAATAGAAGCCAGTGGCGATCCTGCTGTAACCTTTTACTTTCTTCATAAAAAGTGGTTGTAACTTCCTTAACTGAAGGAATTCTTTCTGGTTATACCTTTTTTCTCCTATTTTTATTACACTACCTTACACTAACCTGTGGTCGTTATTGTTTTTTTCTTATACACACCTTAACTTCTTTTTTTCTCTTCGGATTCTCATTGTTTTGTGTGGCGCATATATATTTGGTGCCCTCTTGTACCAATATTTGTGTGTTCAAATAAATAAATAACTAATCATTATGGGACTCAGTAATCTAGGTTTGGTAAACGGTAACTCATTGATCAAGTACACAAGTTCATATGATCATGTATTAAGTTACTGTCTCTTGTCTTCAGAGATGTTAATGGAACGGCTTAGTTAGTTATTTAGTTCGTTACAAGCAACATAGAACGTGCTACATATATGCATCATCACACCACATTAGCACAGTGAAATGAATCTTTTTACGGTAAAACCAGGGTAGTCGAAGTCGTAACATTATCCATGGTAGTATGAAACGATAGACATGGAATATAATTCTAAAAGAAAAAGAAGAATTCTAGGGATGTGAAGTAAAAGTCTTTTAGGACAATGTCAATTCATGTATACCTTTGCAACTGATTTAGAACCATGTCACCTAACATCGATAACCTTTGGTTACAGTAATTGCACAGACACCGACCAGGTAACCTGCAGATATCTACATGGCTCTATTCAATAGTCAATGACTTCAATGGACTAATACCGCCTATTTTATCCGCCTCTAGTTTCCTTCTACACCATCAATAATCTTGCGTCGAGGTAGGCGGTTCTCGGGCATACGTAACATATATCCCAACTACCTTAGTCGATAAAAATTCGCTACGTCATCAACCGACTTTCCATCTTTACTTGATGTACCGCATCTAATCTCAGCATTGCTCATTCAGTAGTCTCAACATAACTGAACAATACCTTCAAAATACTTATTGATCAAACACTAATAAATTCCAAATGGTCTCTATTTTTTTTACTACCATAAAGTAGAATAGTACGAAATATCCCATCAACATTTAGTTGAGAATAGGCAAACTGATATTACACCTATTCTACAAGTGATACAATTTAGGGAAATCCAAACTAGCTGTCGTTATTCGTGCTAAGACTCCGTCAAACACCTAATCCAATAGGATTCATGTTGAATCTTCTAAGATAAGTTATTTGATCGACATGTTCAGTGGTACAGAACTTCTTATTTTAAAATATTTAATGTATTTAACTATAACTTATTAGTTATATTCAATTTTAACTATAACAGTAATGATTGATTAATACTGATATTGTAGTAATTTTAACGGCTGAATTCATGAGTCTATCTAAGCTAGACCACCATTGAAAATCTGGAAGTACTGGACGGCCGTTTCGCCGTCGTAGTATAGGACTACTCAGCAGCGTGCATCCACGATTCCACACACGGGACTGTTTAAATTACCATGATCTCTACGAATCCCCATTATGATAATAATCACATGCCGATTGGTGAATAGCTCCAAGGTAGATTTCCTGGAGTTCTAGTGATAAACCGTGAGCAGTAGAGTTCGATCCGTGTCGGTTGGAGACAGTTATCCACTTCAGACAATGGATGAAGGATTACTCATGATCATCGATCGATTGAAATTACTTATTAACACCGTTAAATGCCGACTCAATGGTCTCGAGGTTAAACGTTCGAGTCCCGCATGCGGGGTCGTGGATGCGCACTTCTGAAGAGTCTCATACTAGAACAAATTGGTCGTCCAGTTCTTCCAGGTTCTTAATGATGATCTAACTTAGATTAACTCATGAATTCAACTGATCTAGTTAATTGAATATCATATCGTTGTTGTTTCTTTCTATCCCTGCTTTTTTTTTCTTAAATCCATTACTTTTGATGAATTTTTAGATGGCAACTGTTAGTATCAAAGATAATTATCATTTATTCAATAAAGATGAAGTTCAAAGAATCATTGAAGAAATTAATCAACCATCATCATGATCATCTGAAACCATGTTGAACTACATCCATTATGGTATTATATATACATATACATATTTTCACGAAACAATCCTGTTTTCTTTCTTTCTCTTATCCGTTTGTTTAATAGTAAATTCTGAATGAGAACGATGTGTATTGTTTCTAATTCGTTTGGTTTATTTGTATGTTTATGTAAATTTAATATAAAGTTTAATGTAGTCATTGAATTGTGATGATATACGTGTATGTAACAAGTTGTTGTTGTTGTTGAACGTTATGTCATCAGCTGTTTTTGTTGGTTTTTTTTGTTTGTTTCAAAATAGTTCAATGTTGAATAAACTTTATTGATGTAAACTTAAAGTAAAGATGGATTGTAGTTAGTCGTTTTTGGGATTTGTCACCTAAAAATAACCTGGTACGGTTAAGGGTAAGGAGAGTTGGCTTTCCCTCACGAAATGCTCTCACACATAACCACGCGTATACAACCACTGACAAGGAAGTCCTACTCACTACATTCTCGTAATATCTCTGTTGTTTACAAAAGTGAGAGGACGAAAAACGAATGTCCGGCGCTTTAACCGCGTTGGTGCATATGGAGGATCCACTTATACGAGTTGGAAAACCCTGAATCCTGGTGCACATGGGCTCCATTATCGTGAGGGAACAAAAGACATATGAACCTATTGTTGGTCATCGACTACCATGGGACTGCATCTGCTAATGTTGCTCCACTGCCTTGTGGATCAGGCCTTCAGGTCTAAGGCTCCGGGTGTGACACCCTAAGAAAATCACCTGCTTCGGTTTGGGCACCCGGACAGTATCACAGCTCACACATAAATCAAGTGACTTGTGTAGCGCATGTGCATTCGTTGTCCATTTGTGCCAATATTTATGTGTTTAAATAAATAAATAATGTACCTTCATCTCAGTTGATGTTTATTCCGGGACTCCAGTGCTAACCACCATCTATATTTGCTTATAATGCTTGTGACTTGAGACAATATCGAGGTAATCGGCACATGCGCCAATAAGAGACTGATCAATTGTAGTCCTAAAGATCAATGAGAAGATTCAAACAAACAATACAAAATGAACTTATTGAAAACTGTTGGATAGCAGTACTAACTAATGGAGTGCACTTAAGTTTCAAGGGCAAAATCATGCTGTCAAATTTATAAGGGGTGTAGTTGAAGTAAGATTTTCCTCACGAATAAGCAACATTTTTAGCAATGCTTTCTTCGTACAAACCGAAAAAGGGATTCAAAAAAGTCGATTTTAGGTATAGCACGGATTTTCTGTTCTTTTGGTAACAAAAAATGAAAGTCGATGTAACCGGTCTAAAGTAGTTATCTTTTAAGTTCTGGAGTTACCTTTCCAGGCAAATAACAACATCATTGACAATTTAGTTGTTTTCGTCCGTTAAAAAAGCGTATCTTTTCATAGTATAGATATCTGGGAATCGTCAACTACTCATACATCTCTAATAGTCGTTATCCATCATGAAAAGCGCTGATCAAAGTTCTTTCAAATGGATTGTGTAGTAGTGAGTACTGCATGCTAATTTCATGATGACCGAAATGTTCGTTATAGTCATAAATTAATTGTTGTACGGTTACACTTACAAATGTTCCGATTATGGATATATCTTAAAGTTTGGTCACTGTATAGGTTGGTACGTAAGGATAATGTCGAAAAATTAATAATGGTTAACGGTTACTTGCTGAAAGTAGGATTTGTAGGTACATGCTTGGAGGGTTTCTACATGTGCTAACGTGGAATTTGGCTCATCGAAGTATCCAACAACCAAAGATTAAGGGATATCTGATTGTTGTAAGTTACATTACTCAAAGTTTCTTGCTATTAACGAAGAAGGATTGTACAGTGATGGAGTAGATTTCCTAACTGCTCCCAAAAGAAAGGTGGTATGGTTAAAATATGTGATGTCCTAAAAGGAATTCATTCCTATTACATCCTTGAGCAATCATTGGTGCAATTTAGCGATCAAACTACATTCTGTTTAAGTTACTTATGGTTGTGTAGTAAACTTTATTTAGCCTTACTTTCCAACTGATTACTAGCATACTAGGACTACACAAAACAGGAGTTTCAAGTAGTTTACTATTGTATACGTCACTTCAGTTAACATCCTTGGTGTCTTGGGATTTGTGGCTTATGATCAAATGGGAACGTGTTGATATACAATATATGCGAACTGTTTACAACCAGATTCACTTGGTGTTGTTTTACTTGTATCTTCCTATTGTTATTTAGGACTGCAATTGATCAGTCTTATGTTGGCATATATGTATCCTGTGCGAATCGCCTCGATATAGCCTTAAGTCACAAGCTTTTTAAGCAAGGATGGATAGTGACTAGCAGTGAAATCCAGGACAAAGCGTGTTTCGTCCTATTTGGGACAACCAGTTTTATCGATCAAAAGTAATCTTATTCCCTCATGAATGCAATTCGTTATGTAACACTACTATTTGACCTTCATTATTTATTCTTATGTTTGGAGATAAAATAAAAGGACGAAGATAGTAGTCATCGCTTTAGATAACGGTGTAAAAAATATTAAGAATGCATTTTTATTCCTGAAAATATAATTGTTAAGTCTGGTTTAGTTTACATCAATGACTATTAAATGAAGCAGAAATGGGTGAAACAGTTGATGGGATCAATATCTTCATTTATGAAACCTCAACGTCCATTATAATATGGATGTCATAATATTGAAATGAATCCACCAAGTTCGTTTTATTTTCAGACTACGTACGCTATTCATTACATAGACAAATCATCTATTTCAATTTCATTTCCCGATATGAACGTTTGAATGTAGAATAGATGAATAGCTTACTGATATTTGAAGACGCTACTTCGAAGAGCCTCAGAACGTCCTGGTACGACCGAGAGTGGGAAGAGTCAGCTCTCTCTGTCCAGATTCCCTCACATAAGCACGCGTATACAATTACCCCTAGGAAAGTCGTAATCGCTGCCTTCTCTCCTTGGGAGGGTGTTATTTACGAAATTGAGAGGACGAAAAGAGAATGTCTGGCTATTCAACCGAGTTGGTGGGTACGGAGGATCCACTTTAATTTTATACAAAATTAAGTTGATTTTACTTGATGAACTGATGTGGTAGGTAGAGTTTCTTTAAAAATTTAAATAGATCAAGAAAGCTAATGTTTCTTACTTTGTGAACGTCTGATCACTTCAAGATGAATTTCTTAATGTTCTATTTGGAAGTTATAGTTTATGAAATCAGTCGAGATGGAAGTATGTAGTAGTGATATAATGCGAAATGAATGAAATTGAAAATTCAAACCATTGTACAGGACAAGCTGTGAACCACATATAGAGAAATTCGAACGCTTCACTTCTATCTGAAGTTTGTACTGATGATGTCGTTTAGAAGAACGATGAAAGTCTAACGACCAAACCATCCAGCTCGGAAAACAAAACTATCAAAATCATCCACCTGAGCTACAAGTCTTCTCCACCATCTTAGATTTCATGAACTATGAAACTCTAAAGCTTCTAGTTCAATCTTGTGTACGATTCTGTATGCATACTGTAGTGAACGAGAACATAAATGGAGACAATGGAATATCGTTGAATAAAAAATTACAGAGCGTCTTAGTTAAATCTGAGAATCATACAGTAAATACTTCATTTGCAAAATATCCAGCGATTGTCTATAATTTCATTGTTCATTCGATTCCACAGCGTTCATTATTTGATCTCCTACCTACAGGCATTTCGATTGACGATACTTACTTACACTTGTTACTCCTCGTGGATGAGCATTGGCCGCCCAACATCACTCTCCATCCAACACAGTCCTGGGCAATCCTTTCCAGTTGTTATTCATCCTTTTCATGTTTGCTTATACTTCCCGACGTCATGTGTTCATCGACCTTCCTCTTCTCCATTTCCCTTCAGGATTTCAAGCTAGGACTTGCCTCGTGATTTTCGTAGTGTATGTCCTATCCACTTCCAACATCTTTTCCTAATTTCCTATTCAACTGGAAGCTGGTTTGTCCTCTCCTACAGTCGGCTTTTGCTGATGATATCCTGTCAACGGATATTGAGTACCTTACATAGACAATTGTTTATAAATAGTTGTACGTTTTTGTTGATAGTTGTGGTAGTTATTCACGTTTCATCTACGTTCGCATTAAAAATTGTGATTTTGACATTGGTTGACAGTTGTTTTGAGTTCTAAGTTTCAAGTGTATTAATGTTGTTATTGCTTTACCAATCATCAGCTTTATGTCTGCATCAGATCCTTCTTGTTCATCGTTTCAACTGATGATGCATACTACTTATATCTGTCGATATCAGTAGCATACATCACACATACTATTGAAAAATCTTCAAAACAGATTAGCATAAACCCTATTTTTCAACTCTAAAATTGGTATCTGTTTTCAAGCTAATAAGATTTGTACTTTTCACTAATGATAAGCAAAAAAAAACAACCATAATAATGAACTTGTATGATTCATTTAACTAAATCTCACATGATGAAGAAGTAGTTGAATGATGAAGTGATTTACTTGTGATTATGAATTACAATTGAATGTTTGAAGGTTTTCATATTCACATTGTATAAAATACAAATAGAGAGATAGATTAAAGTTGACTTTATGAATTGATTTATTCTTATTAAAAACAAAGAATAATTACTACAATCTTTATAAGCTGCTCCCTCCTTTATTTTTGTAGGATTATGATCATGATGTATTCACTAGTGACTGGATTCAAGAGGTATTTTTGGGAGTTCTAGTGATCAGTGGAGTTCAATTGTGTTTTTTGTGAGACAGTGTCTCCAAATGCCCTGGTATGGCCGAGAGTGGGGTGGGCCTGCTCTCTCTCTCGAAGTGCTCTCACATGGCCACGCGTATACAGCCTCTGACAGGGAAGTCCTACTCATTGCTTTCTCATGGCGGGGGTGTTGTTTACGAAAATGAGAGGAGGAAAAGCGAATTTCCGGCGCTTTAACCGGATTCCAAACCAATGGTGCACATGGGCTCCAGCATCCTGGGTGAACAAATGGCGTATGAACCAATTGTTGGTCACCGGCTACCATGGGAGTGCATCACCTCACGATGCTCCACTGCCTTGTGGGTCAGACCTTTAGGTCAAAGGCTCCGGATGAGGCTACCTTTGAAAACCACCTGCTTCGGTTTGGGCACCCGGGCAGTATCACAACCGACACACAAATATGGTGTGGTGCATATATATTTGGTGCCCTCTTGTACCAAATTATGTGTTGAAATAGATATAAATAATAATAATAATAATAATAATAATAATAATAATATTATTATTATTATTATTATTATTATTATTATTATTA